ATGACATCAGCCGCATATAAAGTTCGATGAGGACAATAACAATTTCTTTGTTGGTAACTTATGTGAGACGATCCGGATTCTAACGGTGCGTACTGTTGGAGCTCTCCCACGCATCCCGCAACTTCTCGCTACAATACAATGAACTGGTGTCAATGTTTAGGTTACAGTTTCGCACCTACTTGTCAATATATAATTTTCTTTCGATATATTTGTTTTTCCCGTCTTCTTGATGATCAGACAGCATGCCAAATAGTCTAATTCGGGAGTGTCGAAGTCGACATTAAATTAACTTTGGGTTCTACTGCCAACACCGCGTATGTGTGTATGTTGACATTCTTGTGTAGTTTGTAAATGTACGTTAAATATGTCTAACCTTGAAAGGTTGATAGAGTTGCCTCCTTAAAACATAAAACACGTTAAATGACCTTTGTTGTTTAAAATAAAGTAAGAAAAGGCAGACAATATATTTGTAAGTTGTCACATTACTAAAATTGAAACGAAAGGGAATAAATCTAATAATTCCCTAGTAAAATTCGAGATATGCTACAGTTATTTTGGAACGCAAGAATAATCTAAAATAGATTGCTATAAATAGGGAACTGTGAAATACTGTCCCAAGTATTCATTACCAGGTGACCAGTTAAAATTATAAAGCTTTTAATTATTACCGTTATAATTAAATAATTAAAAGTAATAATTTATGTCTTTTACTAAAGAATCTAGCTGTTATTTGCAATTATTTTATTCGTATAGAATCATTGGGTTTTAAATTAGTCGACCGCCAAACGAACTAATTTTTCAAGACTGGTTGGGATCAAGGTTTCCCGTAGACTAATGCGTACCAATGCATAGTAACGACCTTCCTGATTTATTTGGGTAATACATTACTGTGTTCCCTAACTGATAAATAGGAATAACTGAAATAGTCGGTTAGCCTATTTTTTTTAATAGTAACTAGGAAAGGCTCACATGATGAGAAACATTTAACATTAGGGCGTGTAACTACAGTAAATTATTATCACATTTCTGAAACAAGATGAAATGGATCTAAAAACTCAACTTCGGTTACGGTTCCTCAAAAATGTTCTGAGCACAATTCGTTGAATGGTTTTTCCAATATTGAAACGTAAATAGACCTTCCTACTTTTAATATAAATAATTTATTATGGAGACACTTAAGATTAGATGTACGCACATCCTCTTTCGTGTAAACATAAACAAACACACGGCTAACGGTAACCGCAACGTAAAATACCGTTTAGTGTTTGAAAATATACATTTCTTTTTTTAATATAGCTTACCTGTCTTACGAAGAAATCTCAGTCACCCAAATACCGAAGTAATCAGTTTTGTGAGTGACACGGAACGCAGGCTGCGGCGGTTACTCACATATGTGATGACGTCAGCGGTTAGCATGAGTAACAATCAGGTAAAATTAAATGAATTCAAAATCAACAACAGCCAACGTAAGGAATTTAAATTGTTGTTCGTTTCATTTAATTTGAATTAAAATATCATAATTATTATATATATTACTTTTATACAAATAGGAATTATGAAGGAGATCCTTATGTGCATTACGCATGAACAACATTTATTAGTACTTTTCGGTGCCTAAGTTAGGTTGTTCATGTTAGGGCTGATTGGTTGTGCTTACATAATAACAGGTATACAAGTAAAACACAAAGATTCGACGTAGTTTTTCTGTTTTTCAATATTAGAAAGTATGTCAGTGAACACCAAATATCGGATAATATAACACGCATTAAAAATTGTGTAATCAATTCTACAATAAATCAGAGTTTAATTTTGTTAACCAGTACATAAAAAAAAGAAAGGTGTTATTGAGTAAAAGTGAGTCGATTAAAGTTTTTTCTAATTTAACTATAATATTTACAGACATTGTTTTTTTTTCTATTTACCGAGTTTTTAAAGAGTAAGACAATATACTTTGTTGAGTATCACAGAAGTCTTACAAGTTTGTAAGACGACATCAGTATGTTAGATTGGGAAAGGGCTAACAACCCTTTTTAATTAGTGTTTGAATTACAACTAGAATTAAGATCCTGTTTCACTTAATCATTCTTTCTTTTTCACTAAAAACAACATTCGTATTTTTTTGTCTTCTTTGTAATTTACAAAGACGTGAGCTCATTTAATTTAGTTAGAAAATAAATAAAAAATTTCAAATGATCAAATGCGCAGATTAGTAACGGAACCTTGAAGTGTTTTGTTTGGATAAAGAAATATGCGCACGATATATAAAATGAAATGAGACGTCTGCTGAGTGAAATAACCCAGTTTGTTTAATCTACATACGAAGTATTTTTCGCATCATTCGACTTGCAATGCGCTGTGTGTGAATATTATTCAAAAACTAGCTGCCATGCGGCACCCGCATAAATTTGTGAAAATTTTATTTTTTTGTTTACATTTGTCAAATTATCAATAGCGAATGTCAAAATGACATTACATGACAAACCTTGGCCGTCTTGCTTCTTGATGTTGGCAGCAACTTATGGTCTCTTTCCCTCATTAGGGGTTTTATCCAAAATATTTACCCCCTAAGTTTAATGGCGTGAAAATATATAGCCTAAAGCGTGATGAAAGTGTAGGGCTTTTTATTAAATAAAGAATTATTCAAAAATATGCTGTAATTGCTGACATCTTAGGCAACAAAGAAGTGTGTATTTACGCTTTATTATAATAGTATGTATAGATAAAACCATGTTTTTTAAAGTTGAAACAAAACAAAAGTTGATAACGAGGGGACTCAATAAAAATAAAAAATATGTTAGTTTTATTGAGGGCAGACACAACAAGACGCCTTCGACAGAAACTAGTCAAGTCGAGCTAGTATTAGAAGCTAATAGGATAATATAATAGTTTAAGTTAAAATACTATCAATAATAACATTTATGAAAATATAGTACAGTTTGATATCGATATAAGTAGATATTATTTAGTTGCTGTACATAAAGTAGAGTTTTTACTATACCACTGGAAATTGTTGATTACTTACTTGCGACTCATAACAAATTCCTAGCAACTCTTTCTAGACAACTACTCGGTGGAACGTTGAAGATGTTGACTTGTACACTGTTACCATAGAAGCCTAGACGTATAGAAATATCTTAGCAAACATATTTAAATGTAAATTTAGGTACCCAGGTCTAGTATATGTAAATATATTCGATGCGAGTTTAACGGCGACCAATACAATCTGTACCACTGTAAAGAAGCCACATAATTACAATAGATTGCATTCTTAAGATAAGCCAGTCGTAGACACGTAATGACGTTTAATCACGAACAAAGGCATGGCGGATGACATTGTGCTCTCACGCCGTCGACCATTTAATACAAAAACAAACCATTAAAAAATCTCGATAAAGTAGCGACCATGGCTTATAAACAATGGTTTATAAAAATTATGTTTACGTTTTGTATTGATAGAACAAATTTTTAGCGCTGATTCTATACACGAAGTTCATAGATAACCAACGAATATATTTGCATAGATTGGATCAATAAAGTTAATATTATACCAACGTTTTTGTGAAGACAAACACTCTCATTGGCTCGTTAGAACTTGCCGGTGGTTACTTTTTAAACTAAGAATGTATAAATCAAGATAACAGTGACCTAGTCAATGTTTTAGAGGTCAATCTAAAAGTTTGCAGAGTTCAGAAAATTTATCGCACAGAAAATAATGTTTATTAATGAAAATTGCTCTGCTGGATAAAGTTTACGAAATCCGCGTTTAAAGAGAACCAGTGAAAAAAATGGGTAACTACTTATGGAGGATTAGGTCTTAGAACTGTATCTTTTTATTGTTAATTTGAGATGTAGACTTAAGATGGTCTAGACCTTTGTGCGTTATCGATGCGCTGGACAACACAAACGTCGAGCGATGGCCAACAAAGTCGCGAGAGGAAAGAATTCTCAAGTGTTTTTATCACATTCATTATAACCTGTTTTAATTCTCATCCCTGTGCATTACGTATATTTCATTTACTAATGTGTTATTAATTCATTATGCGATAGGTTCTTAACATCTCCTGCTTAAAGAAATGCGAAAAATAACTACGTTATTTTTGATTAAGTCGTGCTAATTATGTTGATGTCTTTTACATTACATCTTTTTTTATTTTTAAAACATTAATTGAAACTAAACAGTATTGAGGTTATTAAAACTTTGTGCTTATTAAACAATTTCTAAGAATTCTGATTATTTAGTACAATTATGTTTTGCTACTAAAATGTTTTGTCGATTAAACTATCTTGTACAAATTAAAACGAAATTTTCGGAAAATGTTTCATAATCGATGTATGTAGATAATGTCGTGATATCTGCAAAATTAGGTACACCGGAAAGAGAAATCTGAACGAAATAGATAAATGATTGGTTTATTGTTTAATTCTTGAACAAATAAACGAAAGTTGTGGTCTCAGCCTCCTTTCACTAATGTCTATTGATTCGCGCAAAGATCTTCGACGATGATAAAATAGATCGCACGGACTGAACGCCCGCCGCGCGGTCAGCGGAGCCCGAGAGAAAATAAATCTTCAATTGGGTCAATCAAATGCCACGCCAGGCTTAATGCTCGCCCCGACTTGCTAATGCTTACGTCTACGCTCATTACAACACTGTTTGATCGTGTTTGCCTTATCTCCCTTTAAAAACCTGTTGCTACCTGATTCGTGGTAGACAATTGCTGCGAATGTGTATCCGTCCGATGTCGCTTACCGATTCTGTCTATCGAGAGTTTAATACGACAACGAATGTATGCATAATATCGTGGTTTCCTCCAAAAACACTAAATATTCCGTCATCTTAGGAAGTTACGGTAAAAGCACAAAAGCCTGGCGGTCTATCTAAAGTACATTTTTTGTATGAAAAAAATATTTAAGTCTGCCATGTCTTATCGATTCCGTATATGTATTAGCTAGGTGATTTTTGAATTAATTGACATATTTTTTTAATTCTGCCCTTATTTATGCAGATGGCACAGTTGCTAACTGTGCGGCTGAACAAGTCCGACCAGCAGCCGCTGGGCTTCCGGCTGCAGGGCGGGAAAGACTTCGGCACACCGCTAGTTGTTCAAAAGGTAACACTCAATAAATTATTCAAATATACATTTAAATACTTCATGACGATGAATGACTGACTACTATTTTTTTTAATTGTAAGCAAATGTATTTATAGCGGTCGCGATAGCAACAACATGAGAACGTTTAAGATATGACAAAATAAGCAACGTGTCGTGTGAAAACAGCGCCCGCGCCGCCGCCCACGCCGCCGCGTCCAGTGTGTGCAAAAAACGACTCCGATATTTACATCTCCCCGATATAAAAAGCTCCACTTTTTCTACGTAGGTTAATACTGGCCGCGAATAATACTTAAAAATATTTCTCGCATCTCATCATTTCCTAGAACTGCGAATACACAGGAAATCTTTTGTTTAGCTGACATATCTTTGTATTGTAATTTACCTCCAAAGAGGCGTCGCTCGTTATTTCATGTTCGTCATGAGTGTACATTTGTCATTTGTTATCTTTGCTATATTCAAATAGGTGATTAGTTATCCGAAGGAGCTTTTACCTCTCATTAACTGTTAGGTGGCCTCGTTAATGTTTCTTTCGACACTCGTCACCGCTTAAACGCCTGTATATCATAGTCGTGTTATGATTTGACCTTATGTAGTCAAGAAAGGGTAGTGTCAGTTATAGGTAAGTGAACGTAATTACTTTAGTTCATGAAGGTTTATGTAGAATGATATTCTCGGAGGCATGACTATCTTTTGAAGCACAATTTGTTTTATGGCACTAGTCTAGAACAACATGACTTGTCAATCCAATTCGGTTGTTTTTAATTTATTCATTAAATTGCCAGTTTCCTACTGAAAACACGAATTAAACGGAATGCGACGATAAGGTTTTTATCGCATGCCATTTAAAGTTAAAAATATATGTTACACCTGCCCACGTGTGGCCACAGAACAATGTCACAGAATCTATCATCTGCTCATGACTCGCATTGCGGTCGTGACGTTTGGTAATGTCAAAATAACCGACATAATGACGATGATCTCCTGGCCCCAACGGTACTTTTGTTTGACTTATCGACGATAGATTTCTTCGGCATGCGTTCAATGAGCGTCATACTTACTAAATAGAGGCATATAAAAAATTTACATGTAGTCAAACGGCTGCTAAATTGCGCAGCGTCCCAACACGATGTCACTGAACTTTTAATTCCCGGATCTTCGTTGATGCGGAGTTAAAATACGCACTGAAGTACATAAGCATCTGTTCAGCTCATAATTTTAGGTGTTAATCTCCTTTCCGGCGATGCCTATTAACATTTAACTTCCTAGCGTAGTCGAAGAAATGCTAAGCTGGATTATTATTAGGAAAATTAATGGTCTTGTCTGTTGTGTTTTTTCGATATTTCTTCTAAAACTGATAATACGGTAAGGGTAGTGAATTTCTCGGGTGAGTATAGTTGTAGGCAAATAATTTTTAAATGAGTGATATAGTTCGATTGGTATTTTATTTCGGGTCCAATTTACTCGGATTTCATGGGTCTTTTAACAATTTTCTGCATAGTTTTATGCATCTTTTACCAGCGTTGTGTTTGTAGGATATTATAATTCTAGTGGCGATGTAATCACGTCTAAGTATCTAACAAAACAATAGACGTTATTTGTTTCATTGTCGTCTTTGTTAAATGATGTCACAATGTATAGATATAACGTATTAAACTGTATGCTTTTCAAAGACAATATTGCATGTATCATATTGTTAAACTTTTACTTAAATTGTCTTTTACTGCTATTATGAATATAAACTACATTTAATGTTCTTAATATTAGTTAGGTATAATGTCATTTTTTTGACCGACTTCCCAAAAGAAGGAGGTACTTAATTCGTCTGTATGTTTTTTTTTGTACATTAAAACCCGTTCTCACGGATTTGCGCACATTGAAAAATTCTATGGACATCGGAAATTTTATTATATACACACGTGATTCGATTGAATGAAGCGAGTTGCGCACTGAGTGAATATCCCACACACATAAACACATAAGATTTTTGGAATGGTAAAAATGTCTACAAGATAAGATATTGCGAATTAGTTGCTAAGTTACTTTGCTTAGCGCGACAGTGATCTTGTATTCGGATCAACGTATTCGGAGCTTAAGCCGAAATAAAATTGTTAATAACGTCACAGATAATATAATGCGAGTGATATTCTAATAGTATACGAGTATAAAACCTAAAAGTACTTATTTTATTGTACTAGTTTACGTCAATTTTCATTGAAGTTCTCGATCGAAAATAACTAACATGTTTGGCAAACAATTTCATGTAAACATTTTTTTCTTTTTAAAGTTATAATATTACATTTCAACTATTGTTTCGGTTACACAATAGATTCAGATTAGGGTACAACTTGTCCGAAACTGCAAAACAAGTAATAAAACCTACTTAGGAGATTGTTTGGAGTTATAAATGGTTTTATTGCGAAAACGCTTATTCCTTACAAGCTTTTTAAGTAATAAACGTGAGTTAATTAATTTAACAAAATTAATTGAAATCTTTTTTTAATCCTTTTTGCTTTGTTAGTTCAAGTTTCATTAATCTTTTAACCAAGACGAGCAATTTTGCTTCAAATTAATTACTTCTAAAAATGTTTCTTTAAATACAATTATACTGCTCACACTTTCACTCATGTTTTTCGTAAGCCTTGGTGTTATTATTCTTCACCTTGATAGGTACAAAATACTTGAACATTTACATTGTGCACACATATCAGCACTTTATAAATATCGCCGCCACTGAGCGGCCTTGCATTTCCGTTTCCTCTATAACATAAATATATTACCTTAACTATAAAGTTCTTTTTAACGTTAAGGTAGTAAACTTTTCACAATAATATGAAAATCCAGTATTACATTATTTTATACGTTGACATGTAATTCGTATTTCCGACCATAAATATCAGCATAATATAAAAATGTATACTTCACATAAGTATATTTATATTGAAGGCATAATCATCCTTGATTATGCTTTGTATCCCTATATAGATTCACTCTTATTGACCGGTATCGGGCTCTAACTCGGCAGGGTAGGACTGGCCAGCTATCGTTGCGCAACCCGAGACGGGTTCTTGTTCCGAACACAATCTGAGTCACGTATTGTATACAGTAGGTAAGGCAAGGATTTGTTTTGAAACTAGAACGGCGAGCGACAACGTTCCGTGGATTATCGCCCCCGGTATTTTCTAATTATTCGGCTATCGCTCGCTATGAATACCAGAATCGACTTCCCGAGGTATAACGTGCGACGGTTTCTGCATTGTCTGTATTTTGCCTGGTGATAACTTATTATAAAGAGATACAATCGAAACTCTAATAGAGCTAAGACGAACTATTGTTCTAAATTAAACCTTTCAGCTTCCGACTGCAACATGGTAAATCCGTAATCTATTGTTTTCGCGGCGGTAAGGTAACTACGGGTTTAATTTTAAAAATTTCTTAGTAAATGAAACAAAAGAAGATTAACAAAAACGTTTAGTGGGTTCTGCGAATAATTTAGGCATCAATATTGTACGTCGAAAACTAGTTGTAACTTGATATTTGTTTAGATCCATCAACTTAACATAACCAATAACGAACTTAACAAAAAGCTATCGATATAATACTCGTACATTATAGTATAGTACATTCAGTACTATCCTATTGACAACCTTGTTTATTTTAAATTAAAGCCTAAAAGAACACAAAAGTACGATAAAAGGACACATTACTCGTAATTAGAGGGTTATCTACGCACAAATCCAGTGTCTTGTATACCGATAGATTACCTTGAAAGTCTTGAAAATTCAATGGCTCACTGGCATTGAGAATTTGGGCTAAGTGTCACACCGACCTTTTTGTTACTGATGATTCTTCACTTAAAATATTTCATGTAAAATTACCAAATAATTTGTCGACTAATAATTTGGTTGGGTAACTTCGAGTCAAAGTAAGTTTGATTAATAAAAAAAAGAAACACAAGCAGTGGAAAATATACTCAGATCCGTTTTTCTTTATAGACCTTAGATGAAGGCGGAATATGTAAAATCTCTTTGGCGGTCCTAGTTCACATATAGGACTCTTTTTGGTGATAAAGACGGGCTGGCTTATCGTCTGGGAAAACTCCTAAAAGAAAAAGTATTTCACTGTTCAAATTCACAGTTTATTACAATGAAAACAAATAGTCATCTTGTATTATTCTATGTCATTTCCCTATTGCTAAGGGTCGTGACCTCTCTTCAAAGTGTATACTGTCCTCTCGCATTTTGTGTGATCTTTTTGCGATATTGACGTTATTAAAGAGTACTGTTTATTGTATTTAATATGTGTTTTATATATTAAACATAAAGTACATATGCGTACAAAGGAAGTTTTTAAATATTCATTTTGTACTATTGCCTATTTGTGAAAAAAATGATATGTTAAATCTTGTCAATGTCGAAAAGGAAGGAACGATAACACTATCCAATACAAAAGAATTGGACGCGAACAATTCAGATTTATGATCGGTTATTACTCAGGCAGTTGCTTTGTTAACAAAGATATTGTTATCTGTGAAACCAGAACTGGAAACCATAATTTTAGATAACGATCACAATCCTGTTCAACTTCTTTATGCTTACCTGTGAAAGTTAAATAACTTTTTCGATATTATTGTTTATGAAAAAAGGTAAAATTTAGAAAGGATGACTTAAAGAAGACCAACATAATAACATAATTTATGATACAAAAGTTAGTTGGTCTTAACATTTTCAATTTAAATATCAGTCTAAAAATTATATTTACTGCTATGCGTCTTATAATAATTATATTAAAAAGTTTATAAACGATCGAAATTTTCAATAAAGTGGATCGTTCATTGAGGGTGCTTTAGTTACTCGAAGTGGCTACGAACGACGGCTGCTTGCTGCTTGTAAACAATAACGAAAACATAATATGTGTCGGCCTCGCGCGGCGCGACGGAGGAGGGCAAAGTGGGGAGGGCATTTGATCGCTCGTTCTTGTATTTCTGCTGCCGTATATGGAGTGCGCGCCACACGAACTAAGGGCATCGCCAAAGAATAATCATGCGATACTTTATTAAGGAAATAGGTGATTCATATTGGAATGTGACAAAGAAAGCTTATAGGAATTTCGGAGGTCGGCTATCTATTAGATGTTACAAATATTTTAACAATTTCGATCAATAGCAAAATTTAGTTAGGCTTTAATGACTTTCATTTATTAAAAACAAACACAAATTAATTGGGGTAAAGGAATTTATTAAAAGTTACTTAAAACATTTTGTAGCAAAGAAAATTGAAATGAGACTGTAAAACTATCGATGCTTTTTCAAGTTAAATATTATTTACAACAAAAACATAATAAGTGAGTGATTACAGACTGAATGTAAAATGATTTAACTACCTTGGTACAGCATCCAGCAGTTTTTGGAGTGAGTCATGTACGTTACATTTTATTTGTTATGGTTCAAATAAAAATGAGATACAAGGACTCCGAACACATTTATCATCGATAGGCGGAGGCAGCTTGTCATATTATTTTCAGGTTTTTATTTTTTTAACAGTTATTGCTTTTATTGAAGAGTTTCCAAAAAAAATCAGTGATAAAGGGTGAAGAACCTCGATTTACGTCACAATGATATAGGAATACACGCCGCTATAGTTTTATCTACTTAGCCAGAAGCTTATTAGGGTAACTTCACTCATGTATTCTTCTACAAAATTCAATATTTTACCAATACTAAAGCGTATGCGAAAAACTCTAAACATTTATGAAATTCCACAAATCAAATTAATAATTTAACCTAATTCCACGTCTGTACTTGATAAACTCTTTGACAAGGGGTAGGCTAGGCGAGGTCAATGCCAACGTCTGCGGCGGAAGGAGTTTAGTTCTTACGGCAGTGTTACGAAAGATAAATGCTAAAAATGGAGTTAGAAGTCAAAAGCCTTTATGTGGAAAGACATAATTTATTAATTACATTGACATTAGCGGCCAGTTAATAGTTAATACTTATAAGTGACCTACATATGTACTACTTCAAATCAATTACAATTTGTGTTAAATGTACTTTGCAAGAGCTTAAAAGAATCTTAAAAAATGAATACGCATCGAACTCATTTATACTGGTTTTGTTGTATGCATTTACTTTTCCATGCAAAGTTAAATCGGTGACTGAAGTTTAAGAAGTTAATCAAGATTTTTTTACAAAACCATGGTCACAGATTAATTAAAAAACAAAAGTGTTATATCTTTATACAGCTAGAATTATTACCGATTCAGAACGAGAACGTATTACGAAACGAGAAATTCCGCCGTGTTGGAACATCGCGCGCGCGTAGCTTTTTGCGCGCAAAAGCGAAAAAAGCTGCCGACACATTGCGCGGTCCGGTCCTGGCCAGACGGCTCGCGTAGGGTTGCCACTCTTGTGCTTTAAGAATGAAACAAATTGAAAAGCAAGAGATGGTTTAAAACAAATTATTCCATACGTTTTTCTCGTAGACCCCGAATTTATTGGTATCGGTAAATATCGGTATATAAATAAATATATGTAGTGTGTTTAATCGACCATGAAACAAAGTGCTATAAGAGGTGTAATATCTGAGTGCATCAAATTCTTCTAAAAATGAAAGACGAAGAAAAGGGTTAACTCTTTTAATTTATTGCAAATATTGAATTATACACTGTAGAAACTTATTCATACACGCCAAATTTTAATTTCCTAGAAAGTAACGTTATGTTTAACCCTTATGATTATTTTCTGATACTCAGTGTACCCATAACTAATATGTGTTGTAACTAGCAACCCTAATCTGTGGTGATCTCATCGCGTCTGACGTCACCGCCGCTTCCTTCCGCCCCCCGCGCGCCGAGCATTCCACACTAAAATACCCTGTGCCCGGCGTCTGCGCTAGGAATCACATGTCAGATCAAATCCAGGACACCTAGATATGCACGTGTTGAACGTTAAACTTGTTTCATTACTCCGGTTCTTCATTGCCTTGATCAATTTATAATTAAACTGCATGTTTATTCCTGTTCCTGTTGCAGTGCCGACCGATAGTATCCATCGGGATTTCCTCGTGCGCTATATGATTGTTTACGTATATAGTGCAATCTTAAACATTGAAATTATTAAAACTTACACTGAATCACATTTTTTTAATCATGTTAAAAAATATAGTTATTACCTACATTTCGAAGTGGACTACAACTGTTTTGAACAGGAAAATGTGAATCATATTAATTTAAAGCTGTGTTAATTGTGGTTTCCGACTAATAATAGTTGCAATAATGATGACAACTCGCTACTGTGTACGCAAACTCACAGGCAGTGACGTAAAATGCCTATAATAAGTCGCTCATATTTTAAAATCAACATATTCCAACAATACTCATATACAAATAATCTTATGACGACAATATAAATGAAACATACTAAAAAATATGATGATTGCAATAATTATAGCGTAACGTTATTTTTGATATAAAATGAATGTCGCATGATTATTTCGTATATTAAGTTGAAAACTTAAAAATGTTTCCACAAATATGTTGATCATCGTATTTCTAGAAATTTCTGATAGTTATTATTCAGATCGATTTTTAAATACAAGACCCTATTAAATATCAAGAATGGAATTTAATTATAATTTATTATATGTTCCGTTGATCGCAGAAAATAAAAACAGCCCTCAAGTTGTTTCGACGCGTGCCAAACGTAAAGACAGCTGATGCATTCTTGAACAACGCGCAAAAACATTGCGAGAAATAAATACGATAATGTTATGTAATTAATTACACAAAGGACTTATCTACTCTTATAAATAACTTTTTAAGATAACGTCATTGCATTCATATCTAAAAGCAAAATGCCTAGATCGATCGAATGACGTAGTTGATATCATAATTTTCGTTACGTAGAGTCAGGCACCTAGTGACTTGGGTCTAGTCGAAAAACTAGGACAATTGAAATTGCGAGTATTATACTACATGCAACTACTCTTGATAACAAATTTAAGTTGAACTTTGCTCTTTTAAAATATCTCGTCCGCATCGTTGAGTTAATTTAAAGTGCAAGGTTTAACTTACCGGAAGAACACAAAACAGATTAAATTAAATTTTAAATTACGAAAGTTTTTTTTAGTTATTGTAAAAGAGTGGATGTACGTTGTGATATTTATAATGAAGTGAACATTTGATTATTAACTTTACGTAAAGAGATTTAAGTTAGCTGCATTTTTTATTTTTAGGATAGAAAATAGAGAAGTTTTATCGATTGCATACATGAGGGACTATGAATACTACGGTATCCAATTAATCTTATCGTTAAGTATGAATTAAGATAAATTGAGCATTAAAGTTAAATTATTTATATTTTATTTGTTTTTCAGGTGAACGGTGGTAGTTCTGCGGAGCGTGCAGGTCTGCAGGCTGGCGATGCCGTCATCCGCGTCAACAACACCGAGGTGTACAATCTGCGCCACCAGGAGGCGCAGGACGCCATCCGAGCCGCCGGCACTGCACTAGAGCTCACCGTGCAGCGGTAACTGCCACGAACTTTAATTTTTATGCCAAAAACTAACAGCTTTTGCTTACAAAATGCTTATAATCAGAACATAGAAATCGAAAAATAACATATGTTTTAATAAAATACTCAAAATTTTTAATAATAACGAAATGTTAGTGTTAACTTGACGTTTAACCAAATTTCTGAACTCTGTCTATGCTCAATTTTAACACGGCTTAGGATTAATATAGTCATTTTTCACATTAATGCCACTGCGATGTTTGCATTACAAGAAAAAGGGTAAAACATGATAATTGCCACATCATGATTCAGTTGTTAACGTACTATTCCTGGCTTGGATCCTGACATCTCGCGCGGCCGGACTTGTTTGTTACCTTTAAATGCACTTGAGAGTTTATATTTAGACAATACACTTTTAATAACACCCACGAAAATATCGTTGATCAATGTATGCAGTTATAATTAAATTGTGCTATACTCCGAACTACAAATGATCTGTATTATTCGCTATACGTAATAATTAAAAATAGATGTGTTATTTCCGGTTCATCGTCAAGGTTAAATATTTTGTTTTATTGACGCAGTTGTTTTAAACATTCCAAATCTTCACGAGAAAATTATTGAAATATATAATAACTGGGTTGAAAAGGCTAGAGTAGTAACTTTTTAGTGGTTGATAGTTTAATTGGGTCGGGCTGTCAATTTAAAATAATATAAAACAAAGTCTGTTTAATGCACGACCTTCATTTAAGATCATACCGATTAAGCGCCCGACTAAACTATCTTCTTATTAAAAGACTCAGCGGGACTCTAACAATACTATTTTGTTGTCGTCAGCGGCGGTGGCACTTGGCGGCCAACAGTGACTCCGACTGGTAGCCTGCCCCGGCCGGGCTCTCGACCGCTGGGCGCCGCGCCCGCCCCAGTCACCACCACCAGCCTCAAGGCCACGCCCCAGCCCAACCGCAACTTCGGCTCCGGACACAACAATGTCGCTAAACCCTTCGGTTACGTATGTATACAACCAAATTTTACAATAAACCAACGCTTTTTAGGTTATGTTTACTTCAATATAACCCAAAGGTTATATCAAAAGGTACTTGTAGACGCATCCTTACGATCAGGACATGTTTATTCATTTTAAAATTAAGGTTTAATTTAAATGCTTGCATAAAATGTACATGATATGTATATAACTGATGATGGATATGTACAGGCTCGGTTTTCATAACAAATAGATCGAACTACAAGTATTACATAAGAATTGTACGAGAATAACTTCTATGGAAACGTGTTACGTACTAATGCGCTTTATTTACTCCAATAACAGAGATTAGCGCTGTCAGTAATGTTTTTATTTACATCACTAGTATTTACTCCGCTGACGTAACTTTTTTTTCTAACTTCAATAAGTAATGTCGTTTTAAGACCAATCTGTTTTGTTTCCAGATGAACGGCACGGACTCTGGCAAAGGATTGGTGAACAAGCAGTACAATAGTCCTGTCAATATGTACAGCGACAAGACCATCGCAGAGACCCTCTCCGCGCAGACTGAAGTACTGGCCGGAGGCGTGCTCGGGTAACATTGCTTATTTTTTAATAAATTCTGGTAATAAATGTAGTGCTGAAAAGTGACGTGGCACTTCAATTGTCTTGACACCTGCATAAGAACATCATTATGTCTTCTTTTTTAAAGAGAGTAAATGGGGTAGTAATATTGTTGATAAACAGGGGTTATGATTACCACGGTAAAAAAATCAATGTTAAAATTTGGTCTACCTTCGAAACGGAATGGTTTAATAAAAAACATATGTTTGTGTTATCACAGAGTCAATTTCAAGAAGAATGAGAAAACTTACGATGCTGAAAAGAGCGCAGTATTTAAGGTTTTGCAAGAGGAGCAGAATGACCCAGAGCCAGGTAAAAACTCACCACATTCGTTGGAAGCTCGCCGTACTCTTAATCTATGTTGATTGCATAACCAAAATTTTCGTTAAATATGGTGAATACGCGAAGACGATATTTTAAGAATAATCATCACATGGGGTATTTATGGTTTAGAGTACTATCGCTGATTTAGAAATTAATACGTCTTTTCGAAATTGGATTATGAGTAGAGGTGGGCGGAGCGCCTGCGCCCGCGCCCGTGTCCCCCGCGCCGGTGTCGGGGCTGCGGCACGTGACCGCGCCCGTCACTAGGCCCGACGCGCCGCTCAACACCGGCGGCCTGCCGCCCGGACAGAACATTTGCGAGGAGTGCGAACGTCTCATCACGTAAGTCGGACAAAAAATGCCCGACACGGTTGCAAACATCGCACGGTGCTCACGTATAGTCTTCGTTTTTCGATACCCATGTTCGGTTGAATGTCTTATTCGGGATGTCGCGAGGTCACGAATGTGAGCTTACAGTTTATTTCGCGAATATTCTGTCTCTAGTAGATGATTTTTATTTAACGTCCGATTGATTGTCGTATTTGGCGAAGGAAAAATGTCTACAGGTTGCTTTGTCAGCGTCATTTGGTTGAACTGTTTAATTATAGAAGAGTGGAAGTAGGTATGAATTGATACTGTAATGGATTATTGCGGGTCGGCAGAGGCGTGTCAGTATTTCTCGCGCGCAAGCGTGTGCCGCGCCGGTTCGCCGGGAGCGCTGCACGTGTCGCACGCGCGCGCGCGCTCGCCAAGGGTGGAGGTGTCGCCGGTCGCGCGGCCCCTGGCGCCAGAGCCGGCGGTGCCGCGGCCCCTGGCGGCGCGCTCGGCGACGCCGCAGCACCTGGCGCCGGAGCCGGCGCACCGGCCCAGTCTGCCGCTGAGCCTCTCGCCACACCACCCCGCCGCCGTCACTACCGACACCCCTCTCTGCTCCGACTGTAGTCGCCACATTACGTAAGAGGCGTACGAGGAATGCCTTGCGTTGTTGCAACCGTGTCGATCTGTGTAGTAGTTAATGTAGTTAAGATCTGTGCTTCCTAACCGAGAAGCACAATTACATATTAAAACTAGTGCTAGTATTAACCGCTGTATATTCATCGTATCTCATCAACTTAAAACTCATCATCAAATACATCTCTTAGATAACTGTTAAAATGCAAATCAAAGTAAATATAAAGGTAGTCAAACTGAGCATGTCATCACTCGCATCTTGTGTACTAGTAGTTGCGCACTCTATGCCTGATACATAGCGAAATCGCTATGTATGTAACTAGATTAGGTGAGCATGTTTGTTTAAATATAAGTAAAAAAATCATTATCCCACGTGGTATATTATATGTACATGTCTGGCGAAGAGCCACGCTATTTCACTAAATATGAGCATATACCATACGTATACTTTTGCATTATTGAGAAATCATACAGATATCCACTTCCATTCTTATCCTATGTTACGATGCTTACAAAACATACGCTCATTGTTCTTCTGAACAAAAATGTAGCAAGTTATTGATTGTGATGAGTATAGTGTTGTGTGTGTAGCGGCGTGTTCGTGCGCATCAAGGATAAGAATCTGCATGTGGAGTGCTTCAAGTGCTCGACGTGCGGCTCCTCGCTGAAGAACCAGGGCTACTACAACCTGAACGGCAAGCTGTACTGCGACATCCACGCCAAGCTCGTGGCGCGCCAGAACCCGCCCGCGCCTAACCTCGAGCCCGTCACCGTCCCACCGTAAGAAACACTAATATTCAAGACTAGGCCCTTTCTAAAATAGTACAAGTTTTCTTCAAAGGTCAACAATGCATGTGTAATTTCTTATTTTGTTTATTATGATCTTTATCTTTTCTCTAAATGTAATGTTTTGTTTATTTGTAGCGGCGGCAGAGTACCGACAAACACCTATTCAACGCCCCTGCCCCCGCTCGCCACCAACAACTATACTAATGGATCCTCTTCCATGTTCAGTGTAAGTATCCAAATATTGTAATCAAATATACGATGTGATTGTCAACGAATGTGGAAATGGTCCTAATAATTTTCGAAAATTCTTATTTATGGGAAAGAAATATTCGATATTTTTTTTTGTAGAACTCCAGTGTCTTTGTTAGAGTTGACTAGTAAACAAACGCCTATGGAAGATGTTACCAAATCTGAAAAAAACATCGCTTATATTCTACTTATCAACTTAGGTTACAGGCGTATACTTATTTTCATTTATTTCCAGCCGTCAAGCAACCTGTCGAGCTCGGGTCCGAAGCCGTTCGGTTCGTCGCTGGGGTCCGCGTACTCGCCGTCGCTGTCGCCGCGCTCGGCGCCGCTGTCGCCCGCGCGCCCGCTCGCCGCCGCCCCCGCACCCGCCCCCGCACCGCCCGCGCCCGCGCCCGCGCACTTCGCCGCAGCGCCCATCTCCGCACCCGCCCCCGCGCCCGCGCCCAGTAAGCGAGTCACATTTGCTATATAAATATACACAAATAAACTATTCTATACAATATACTACTCACTAATTTAAACACGTTAAAAAAACGTACAACAGTCACGTATATATACGTTTACAAATTAGAAAATGTATCCTTCAAGCATATTTGATGTCATCACAACATCCACAACATGTTTAGTGAAAATTCTGACCATTCACAGTATATAAAGTAGTTGAGAGTTTGTTGTATATGTTTACTATTTTTATACTCGCGTTTTTGCACTCGCAGAATTTAAAATAAAGTTTGATTAGTGTCATTAAATATATACAAAAAAATTGTTGGTTTATTCTTTGGTTTTGATTTTTTTCAGTAGAATCTTAAATGATTTGTCGTCTATTAGGTTTGATAAAAGTATTAGATTAACTAACAACGAAATAACTTAAATTATTATTAATTATATTTATTTATATATTTAAAAATTGATTATGCGCAGTGCGAAAGGCGGGTTTATTACCTAGAAGCATTCTCTACCAGACGACCGACTATTAAACAGAAAGTAATGAAGAAGGCGGAGAGGGAAGAGTGAAATGAGAAGAGATATGTTACATAAACATCAAATAAACAAATATATGTACATATATTTACACATATTAGAACTACTAAAAATACGCTATAACGATACAAATTGCTACTATTTACTAAAATAAACCTTTACATATTTCAACAAATATATAAAATATTTTATTACACATTTGACATGCTAGGGTAAAGAATTAATATTTGTATTCTTAATTTCGATTTATTATATTTTCACTCCGGTACATATTTTTATATGACAAAACAGACACAAACTGCTGTAAAACCTACACAAAATTATTTTTATACAAATGAATACTATCTGTTAAGAATTTTAGATAAAATTGAGAAAAATTATTGTGTAGTCTAGGTTATGCACTTGGAAAAGTTTGTTATTTTTAAAATTTCTTGTTACATCGTCGTATACCCATTAGTACATTGTGTACATACAACATTGGCTATATACATCATTTCGCATTATTTTTGCAATAAATTGCATTTCGGCAAAAGTAAAAAGTATATTGAACTTTATAATAACAGCAAAACCACGCGGTGGTTTTCTTTTGGCGGGAATTGATTTTTTTTTGTAATACGCGTTGGTCGACCGGTTTGATATTAAATATTTTGCAAGATTAAAGAAATATAAAATTGTAATTTATTTTCGACAGAGGGCCCAGGTTCCATTTTTAAAGGTAATTAGCAAAGAGACATATAAATAGCTGCTGATCGGCTTTTTATAGCTATGTACAAAAATAAATAGAAAATAAATGTGTTTGCGCTAAGCGGCCAGCCAATCAGTCGCAGCATTAAAATAACTCCATCCTGGCACTCAGTCACTCTTTATAATACGTCATATACATGGTATCTACAATCAGATAACATTCCCGCTTCCTAAACACTTTTATTGTCAATGTATTTTCGTATTTTATTTTAAATTCATTTAGATATCAAAACAACTAATTTTCTTTTCATTTTCTTCCTCCCCATTTCTAACCTTTGTGAATAATCAAATACTAATAGCACAAAATGTTAAAAGTATAATATGGCCACCGCCACCGAACCCCCCCGACGATGACGTAACTGACGTCAGACCGAAATCTATTGAACGATCATTCACACACGATAATAAGGATGTATATTCTAAAAACGAAAGTGCAGTGAAATCAGAGATGATCAGTAATCTACAAAGTTGTTCTGAGACAGTATCGTCTGAGCAAACGGCTCTGTCTTCTAATGTATCCTTCAGTGCGGCCACCATGTCCACAGCCACTACAACCTCATCTCAATCCAGCTCCATGGTTCAGTCTGTGCAGTCCGGTCTCATACAAGAAACCAAAAGCAGTATTCAGTCCTTCACAGAACACGCTTCCTCTCAAAATCAAAGTATATGCGTTTATGAATCGCAAATAAACCCAAAAGGATTTATTCCATTACCTTTCGATGAAAAGTTAGAAAGTATGATCAATAACACTAAATTGGCAAATACTATAGAGGAGTCGTCTATGTCAGAAAATTTTATGAAAACGCATTCGAAGCAAGCTGCAACTTTTAATGAGGTACAATGTGTTACAAGTGTAGGATCAGATAAACCCCAAATTAAAAGTAAATTAGTACCAGACAAAGGAACTATACAAACTTTACAACAAACGACTACCAAACAAGCAGGAACTACTTCGAGTGTAAAAAGTAACTTCGAGAAACAAACGCATTTGGAAACGCAAGAGAAAAAGTTTAGTAAGAATATTACAGGTTCTATGACAGAAGCTTTAACAATAGCACCCGAGAGACCGTATTCACCTTTACCATCGGTTCAAGCAACCGATCTACTGAGTGTTAACACCAGCCACATGCAGACTCTATCAGAAACTTCGAATGTACACACCCAATTAAATAAGTTAAATCCAATGGAGCAACAAACAAAACGTGATAATCCACCAAAAGTTGATAATAAACCATTCAAAGTGTCAAACAAAAAAACAGTGCAATCACAAACGACTGTAGAACAGCGGTCCCAGAAATCAAACTCCCAGAAAAATGGATCTTCTAAGATTAATGAACAAAAGCCCTCTATAGTTCGCGGCTCCCTGAGAGATGCACTAACAATAGCTCCCGATAGGCCATATAATTCTTTAGGTTCTACAACTTTACAAACATATCATATATCACCATATACAGAAACTAGTCCGTTGCCAGATATCAAATCTCACAGCGAGGTGGATAATGCATTTGAATCGTGCCAGCTAAAAGAAGTCAATCAACCCGTAATGCAACAGAACACAAAGAAAATGAAATGTTCATCAGAATCGCGCTCAGCGTTTAAACCAGTGGCCAAGCAAGTTTTTCCACCTCCAACACCTGAAGAATTCGCTAACCTTTCTAATTTATCCACGGAAGCTGGGCCAAATCATTCAAATATTGAAGAACAGTCTCGAGGAAAACGTGAAATTATGAAAGCTAAAACAGAATCAGATCATTTCACTGCAACAACTACTAGCAATATGAATATACATGGTTTTTCTTCGGTTAAAACAGCACAAAGTTATTTCGAGCAACGGGATAAAACAGAGACTTCGACATTAACCTCTGTTAAGCCTGCTTTCTGTACTCAAATGACGACTAACATGGTCCGTTCTAATGAAAATGCCTCGCAAATAGTTTCACACAGTGGCTCCATGCCAGAATATCAGAACACACCTGCTAGCACAATTAATATAAGACAACCGGTTCATCAAGGACCATCTATGCAGAAGGATAATCTGCCCTATCAATGTTTCCAGCCAGTCGTCGACGAGGCCTCTAGAAATTCACCCATACGGAGTCGACCTACTACACCCAGTTTAATCAATAAGCCTGCTCCTATCATCCCGCATTATCAAATGAATCTAGTAACAGTAGAACATAATGCTCCCAAAAGTCAGGTGTATGAGCCATCAAGTACTGAAGCTAGTCGTTCGTCAACACCTATGTTAAGGTCACGTTCGCCGGGACAAGGACTTCAAACCAGTAATTTAAAAGCCCACGCACCTCGTATTAAAGAGCCCACTTCACAGATGCAACAAGGTCAGCATCTAGCTCAGGCAAATTTAAAATCAGACCATGAGAACAGTCAAAGAGACTTTCAAACAAACGTATGTTCTACATTCAGTGCACAAAGAGCCCCAGAACAGTCAGTTGTATACGAATCAAGAGGTTCAAAATCAGGACATCAAATAGAAAAATACGACAAAGGAAATCTGAGTTTCAAAGAAGATTCTATGATAAATCAAAATTACGGTCAAAAACACATGCAGTCGCAAAATGTGGCCGAATATGGAAATACAACGGTCCACACTTCGAAAAAAACATTTGAGGAATTTGAACAAATGCAAACTGCTAAGGTCATAGAAATTACGAAGGGGGGTTCGATTTCCTGCGACTCGTATCAAAAACAAATCGATTCTAATATTCGACCATCTAACATCTCCAGACAAGTTTTCCCACCGCCTGTAATGAATTTACAAGCCATCCACGAAACGTCGCCACCTAATATTACTAATGAATCTGTCGCTACCGCTAACAGACCATCCGAGTTTTATAAACCACTTCCTTCAATTTCTGGTGCTAACCAAGTTCCAGTGTGTGATCCTACCCCGTCGACAGGTTCGAGTGTAGGAGGCGCCGCTCGTGGCAAAACATTCGGGGTTTCATCCGCGCCCAAACGAGGCAGGGGAGTCTTGAACAAAGCCGTACTGCCAGGCTCTCGCGTGCCCCTTTGCGGTTCCTGCAATGGGAACATTAGGTGATTCGAATGCAAAAGTCTATGACTGTTGTTTGGCGTGCTGCATGATGTTTTTTCTTTTCTAGCTCGTAATAAATCATAACATAGTGTGATTGTTTTTAGGCATTTAATTCTCATAAAATAGCATCTAACTTTATTTGTTAACATGGCTTTTGTATAAATGTTTGTGTTTTGTTTTTTCTAACAGTAAACGATACGCAGATTCACGGCAGTCCGGTTAAAGCAGAATTCAAAAGCCAAGCTGAGGAGAGACTTATAAGAAAAATGGCAAAAATGGCACTCAATGGATACGAAATAGGAATTCAAAGGAAAATAAAACCCGCCGATCACATTCAGAGCATGGCGAATAAAATTCAAGATACCGTTGTGACCAAACATCCTCTCAATTCAGATACTATTTTATCGGAAAACAATAGTCGCGAAAGCACGTTACGTAGACCACTGAACAAAAGTTTTGATGATGTATGTAAAACACCTGAAAATAATTACCTTAATAAAACTACATCGTCACCATTGTTCATCGATGATAATAATGGTTATCCACCTGTGCCTCCTCCCATACCCAACACTCCCGTGCCGACATTCGATCCTCCGAGCCCAACAATCTTAAACACATTGAATACACACACCCCTAAGAAACAAACCGACTATCCATTGAAAAATTCCGACACTAATTTATTGACTTTAAGCATACTGCAATCATTAAATAATTCAGAAAAATCATCAAATGGAAGCGACTATTCAAGCAGCGATGACATGTACAAAGAAAAGTCTGAAACTAACATAAGCAATGGTAATACGTTACGAAAAAAGTCTAGTTTTGAAAAGTCCTCGTTTCTTGATGGAATGAATACCTCAAATCAAGATGTATACAGGACAGAAGTTAAAAATGAAAACAGCTTTTCCAACACTCTAAGCAAACGGAAACTTTTTGAAAAGATCGAAGATACTAATCATTCGGACGAAATAAAAAGCAAACCTACTAACGGTTGGTCAGAACTCAACCAAACTAACTCCCTTCGCAAATCACCTACTGCGGAGAACGGTAAGAACGATATAAAAAGTACAGAAGAAATTACAAAGAAATTGCCAAATAATTTGTACGACAATACACTTTATGCATTTAAATCTCCTAAAGTGGACAATAATGTAGCAATCAACTTCGAAAACAACGACGATGAATCTAAGACGGACAATACAGAAACCGAAACAGTGGTGAAACGCAGGGAGAAGAAGAAATTCAGAAACGATGACGGTCGAAGAGATTCTCGTATTGTTCAACGTCCATTGAGTACGATGACGTCAGTGGACGTAGCCGAGGGACAGTATCCTGTTTGCCACATTTGTGAGAAAGCTATAACAAGGTACTATCATTTACTAATTTAAATTAATTTAATAAGAAAATAAAGTAAGAATCTTAAAATTTATATGCATGCGTTTCGTGAAAGCATGGTTTTGTATGTTTAAAACGATAATATTAACCAACAAAATTAATTTCGGCTACAAAAATTTAGTTCGTCAGTAACGTCTATTGTCTGTAGGGGTCCGTTTATAACGGCGTTGGGCCGCATCTGGTGCCCGGAGCACTTCGTGTGCGTGAACGCGACGTGCCGCCGCCCGCTGCAGGACATCGGCTTCGTGGAGGAGGGCGGCCAGCTCTACTGCGAATTCTGCTTCGAGCAGTACATCGCGCCCGCCTGCGACAAGTGTCATGCCAAGATCAAGGGTGTAAGTTAAAACCCTTTGGAACAACCATCATTTAAATTTATAGTGGTTTGGGGGTTAATTGCTTACTAAGGGAGTCCCTTAATGCAGATTTTTACCACTAAATAGTAACCAAATTGACGACATTGAGCATTGCAGTTAGACTTAGCAATGGTTCCTTGCAATGTAATGCTGTAATTGATATTTCTTGTTCGTTGTGCAAACTGTTAAGTGAGATTTTGTTGCGAAATTGCAGGATTGTTTGAATGCGATCGGTAAACACTTCCACCCTGAATGCTTCAACTGCGTGTACTGCGGCAAGTTGTTCGGTAACAATCCGTTCTTCTTAGAGGACGGCTTGCCTTACTGTGAAGCAGGTAAGTTATTTACTAACCAACACAACACAACAATTATTCTCGCGATGTATTAATTTATTCCCAAAAAAGTCTGCATTTTTTAATTAATTCCATTCACGCTAATTTTAAGTAGTCAAATCTCATTCATCTTTGCCCTATTGGGCGTATGTGTAAAAAAAATACTTGTGGTCTAGGCTGAATATGATTGAAAGGATTCTGTATCTTGTTATCATGTAGAGATATGTGGATTGATGTCTTCCAGACTGGAACGAGCTTTTCACAACAAAATGTTTCGCTTGCGGCTTCCCCGTGGAGGCGGGCGACAGGTGGGTCGAGGCGCTCAACAATAACTACCACAGTCAGTGCTTCAACTGCACGGTGCGTATGATGCCAGCGTACTAATGTTACCGATCGATTCTAAACGTATACCTGTATCGTGATTAAATTCAATAACATCACTTGTTAATATTTATACTTGCAAGATTTATTAAATTCTATAATCTATTTCTTACTTGCAACACTCAATTGAATTTAAAAAAAATGTTTAAATAAAAATAATTATTTACATAAAATAGTCAAAACTGTAAGCATCAGTTTGATTAAAATATTCCATTTACATTTTACAATTGTCTCATATTGCCCTCCATGAAATTTTTGTTTTAGTAATTGCATCTTGAAAATGCACACAGTCCGTACCGAAATAATAAACGAATCCCACACAATTATCACAATCATAATTATTTCTATCGATTACATACGAGGAAACTGTTCACAGTAGACATGAAAATTCGCGCATTTGAGTAAAACAAAGCTCGTCATACGCTCCCACACTGAACTGATTCCTGAATTAACCTTGTAAATTGTGTGCGTGTTCCAACAGTGTGCCCTGTACCATGTTATGTCTAGATTAACTTGTATGTATATGTCCGGTTTGAAGTTCTAAACCTTCCCAAAGTTCTTGGAAGGTTGTTTTACTGTAGACTAGCGTACCCCTGAGAATCGCTTTTAGACAATACTTAGAGCAGAGTGCAATATCATTTTAGTAGACTGTTTTGGCTATTTTATGTATGTATAAGTTATAAATGTTAAAAACTTTGTAATGCAACAATATACTTTGTTTTTGTATAAAATTAAAGCTCTACAATAAGACTGATGACATTAATGTAATATAATATTTTAATTGTTATTAACTAATTTCAATATGAGTCTTGAATTTTATTAACTTAGATGTTCTATGTAAATTTTATCATGAATTGTTAATGTTTGTTTTATAGTACATACTTACTCTACCTTATATATTTAACGTTAATCCTTGGAATTGGTATTTATGTTAATTACAGGTGTGCAAGAAGAATCTCGAGGGACAGAGTTTCTTCGCCAGAGCGGGCCGACCTTACTGCAGGATACACGCCCGCTAACGATCCCCAACAGATAATGTACAACTCTGACACTGTTTACTCCACCACTGTATTCCGACCAGTCTCTCTTTCTCCCACTATATTCCCTGACTTAGAAACACCGCCGCAACGGACGAGGAAATTGGAAACACCCCTCCACTTCGATGGAGGGCTGTTTTCCGACATAAGAAGCTCTGATGGCAAGTTACTTAGCAAAGTAACAGTCGATCGAATGCACAGTTCGACGCGTCGCGACGTAGTCGACACGCCCCATGTATCGGAGTCAAGCGATGCGCACGGCAATAAAGACTACGTCGATGATATCGTCAAAACTGAAACTATCACCAACGAGGACGTCTTTAAAGTAAAATTCACACCAGTATCATTTGAGCTAGACGGACCCCAGCAAGCTACAAAATTAATAATCGAACGACCACGAACACCGGTTATTCGTCCAACGCTTATTGATCGGCCGATAACTCCTCTAAATGTTCCAATGACGATCATCGATCGTCCAACAACACCTTTGGATCGGCCAATAACACCTTTGGATCGGCCAATAACACCTTTGGATCGGCCAATAACATCTTTTGATAGGCCAATAACACCTTTCGGTCGGCCTATAACACCTTTCGGTCGGCCTATAACACCTGTTGATGGTCTAAAAACATCTTTTGATACACCAATAACACCTTTCGATCGTCCAATAACACCTATTGAACGTCCAATAACGCCTCTCAGTGTTCCAATAACATTTTTAGATCGTCCAACAACACCTTTCGGTCGTCCAATAACACCAGTTAATAGACCGATTACACCAGTCAAAATAATTAGTAACGACTACGAAGATTTACAAAGTTACAAAATAATTAAAACATTATTAAAAGAACATTCTAACACAAAAACCGATAACTTAAATTATTGGGATGATAAAGTGAACTTTATTGATGTTAAGTGCGACGAGCCAGTTAAAAGAGCTCATAGTCCTTTGGCTAATTTCATTGTATCTGAACAGTTAACTAAAATCGATAGCTATTTGCAAGAAAGTTTGAATGTATGTTCTGAAAATAGTACAGAAACCATTTCACAACCGCCTAAACTAGATGAAGAAAGAGAGACTACGGAAGACATAAAACAAGAAAACAATATTAACAGCCAGAAAAACGAGGGAAATACGAAAAATAATGTAAAGGAATCGACATTAAAATATATTGCAGTTGAAGAGTTTGAACCATCATCTCTCAAAGTAAACAGTGTCAAAGCAAAACGTCCGGGAGTTGTAAGCGCTATTCGCAACATGCCAATGCATTACCACGCTGCGATTTTGTGTTTCTTTTTAATTGTATATAACCTTATTTATCAATATATAAAACAAAATCACCATGGCATTAAGAAATAAATTATACTATTGTTATGAAAAAATTGTACGCATGTATTATACTAGTCAAGGAAAATAATCAAAGAAATTTCAAATTACGTTTTTAAAGTCTAATTCAATTAGTTCAAAAAAAATTGCAAAAGATGTATGTACATAATAAACACATGTAACAAATGCCACTTTGTGTCACTATGTTTCAACTTAACAGATTGGTGCTTTTCACTTTGCTAAAATTGCTCGCGATGATGTGATATTTCACTTCTTCTAATTTAAATATAAGGCTTTGTACACAGCTTCCGGAATGTTACAATAAACTGTTACTAACCCTAACAGTAGCAAAAAATATCAGCTGACGGAAAAAAATACATTAGACCTGAAATATACAATTGGTGCACCAACTGAACGAATTAGATACTAAGCAAAATGCAACTTGTATGAATATCTTAGTGATGTTTTAATATCATTTACATACATATATTTTAAGTTATTTGTTATAACAAAAGAAATGTAGAAGATAAAACTTGACATCTGCAGTTTATAATTTAGCATTAATTACATAAATAATCGTCGTTATTTTAAAACTATTTATTTAGATTATTTACCACTTTTAGTGTAAAATGCAAGAATTATGTGAGCTTAATAAAGTATTTTATTCTAATATTGTTTTATTTAATTTTGTATATGAAATCTACTGTCACAGATTCATTCTTCCCTTCAAATTTTATCTTAAAATTGCTTATTCCTTTACTCAAAATGAGTCTGGCACAAAATAATTGCTTTATCTGAATTTTATTGAAGTTCTGAAGGTGCCAGTAATCATCATTAAACTGATTGCTTGCTCTTTATAAATGCAAGCATCTGATGATTATTAAATTTGAGCACTTTCAATACTATTTGACTATCAAGTATCTATATAATGAGATTTGGTTTATTTTCAGTTCTAATCTAAATTTCGTTTAGTCTAAATAAAAAAATAATTTCTAGTCTCATTTATGTTTATTTACACTCTCTTAAACTCTTACATATATAAACATATAACTTATTCCATTTACAATATCTCTATAATAGCTGGAAATAGTCATAATGAACAAAACAAATGAAAAAAGTACCTTTTTAATAAATCAAATGAAATAAATATAATTACACTGAAAATAAAGAAATTAAACTCAAGTATAAAATGGACATGTGGTAATATCAATGGCAAATGATGGTTGTACTTACTAATTGTATAGGTAATTCTTATTGCTTATGTATAATGAGCAATATCATGTAAAATTGGTTGTGGCCAGCAATGGTAAAGAATTTAAATCATTCCAGTAGTTTCCAAAATTAGCATTAAAATATACCGCTTTACATGACACAGTATTGACTACATTACTCGGTTGAAGTAGGTTGTTCCGCTTCTTCACCAAATATAAAGCTGCCAACTCTAAAAATGTGGAAAAATCATAAATGCAAATAATCAAATTCATGGTTATTGTGATTCTATAATTTATATACCTTTTCCAATTAATGCAGAGACCAATAAACATAAAAGTTAAGTATCCATGCCATAATACGGTAACAATTGGCAGTGGTTGTTTTTTATGACCAAAATTTTTAAAACCTTTAGAATTCAAGGAGTTTATAGCGCCCATTGATCGGCAACGCAGGATTTGTAAAGGCGTTCTTAACATTTTAATGTACAATTATGTAATTTGTTTGAAAAAACCAAAAGGAAAAATAGTCTCACAACATTCTCAAATATCTGACAGTGACAGATGTCAAATGCAGCTGACTTTCAAAGAGTAATTACTCTACAGATTGAATATCGTTGGAATACTCTTCGGACATCATGCTCCTTAACCAAATGCCTAAAGCGGTAGGCAGAGGTATAGGATTTTCACTTCGTTCGTCAGGCATAGTAATCCATCCATATCTATACGCACTTGCTAGTTATTTATCTTGTCTATAGTTAGAAATCATGTTACATTAAAACATTTACAAAATTACAAAGTAAAAAGATTACACACGATTTTAAACTCTCTCAAAAAATTGGAAAAGGATTATTTATTTGAGGAGTTAAATGAAAGCATCAGTACATTCATAATATTGAAATTTCTTTATTTATAGCATATTGTTTGAAGATGATCCTAAAGAAACTAAACCACAAAGGTCTCTCCACAAATCAATCTTAACTTAATAAACTTATTTACAGAATTATTCAAAAATGAAACTAGCTTAAACTAAAAAATAGTCTTAAAATTAAGATACAAACATATTGAGGCGAAATAGTTCATAAAAATTTAGGCAATGTAAATCTTGAATTTAGGTAATGTTACCTAAAGAAAAAAATATTTTGTATACATCACAAACGGATACAGTATATTAAATGGAATTCATAAACTAAAACGGTGACTAAACGGGATCATAGAAAATGATTAATACTATAAAATACATACATTATTGTAGTACATAACCAGTACCAGTCCATGCTTAACAGATTACATAGGAAACATCACATTTGTCGTCAACTGAAAACTTAAATCTATACGAGTTCCAAAACGAGCTGCGAAACTAATGTTTTAAAAGACAATGCGTAAGAAACGAAAACGCCATAGATATATAAACAGAAATAACATCACTTAATCTTCAAATTTAATAGAATGGACTCCTGTGTCGATGGCACCGCCGCGGTACGAGCCTCGCTTCTTCTTGGTCTTCTCGTGTTTGAAAGACTTTCCTCGCGTGTGCTTCAAGTCGTGATTCGCACGCTCACCCCATGACCCGCGAGCTCCGCTCTGGCAACAAAATACACTTTTAATACACACACAACTAAATCATTCTAAATCTTTACTTATAAATTGTTTTATACTTATAAGTTGTCACAACACATGTAACAACTATAAAGGTAAATTCAAAAACCCTGCACGGGTACCTCTTCAACAACAAGTAAGATTATATTTCTTCTACTTTTCCGACAGTTGTATAAAAGCCGATAAATATACTTTTGATAAAATTTTTGATGAGAATTAAATACTGATATGCAATGTTCATTTATAAAACACATCTTACCCTTTTAATCAAATGTTATTTTTTTGTTTTGAGTATTATTGTCTCCCCCATCAAAACTTTTTCTGTTATTGAATCCACCTTTGTTGAAGCCTCCTCTATCCCCTCCCCAAGAATGACGATCACCGCGGCCGCCCCTGTCGCCCCCGCGGCCACCCCTGTCGCCGCCTCGGCCTCCCCTACCTCCCCTGCCCCTATCACCAAATCCGCCTCTGCCCCCTCGATCGCCAAATCCACCTCTGCCCCCACGGTCGCCAAATCCTCTGCCCCCACGGTCACCAAATCCACCTCTACCCCCACGGTCCCCAAATCCGCCTCTGCCTCCCCTACCCCCTCTATCAAAACCCCCGCGACCCCTAAAACCTCCCCTGCCCCCCCTATCGTTAAATCCTCCTCTGCCACGATTAAACCCGCCTCTTCCGGAGTTGTGATGCGGTGAACCATCAACTTCATCTTCATCTTGCTCCTCACCCTCCTGATCGAGAGATATGTTAGTTTTAATACCAAGACAACTCAATGTTATGACTTAAAGTAAATGCCCGAAATTATAAGCCACTGCGCTATAAGTTTGTCGTATTCGTGAACAAACATGGAGTTGCCTTGGCTTTGAAAATTTTGGGGCATTTACCTTAGCTTCAAATGAATTATCCTTAAGTCTAGGGTCCACTTCTACTTTTTCAGTAGCAACGCGTCTGAATGGGGTGGTTTTATTTGCACTTGAATCTCCTTCAGTGTCCCTCTCACTGGGTGTGGAAACTACTTTTGTGCCCTAAAACATTGGATGATACAAATTGAAGAAATATCAACTTGTATTTGCAACAAATTTTTAATAACTAAAAGTTATATTAGCTATATGAAATTTACCAACAAGGCGATTCAAGTGACTAATGTAGCATACCTGCTTTTGTACTAAATTAAGGTTTGAAAAGAAATATAAATAAAATATTGTAAAATTATCTGATAAGCACCAAGTGTCAAGTTTACTTCATGCTACTGCTCTATCTATAATACTAACAAGCCAAAAAAGTAGGACTACTGCTGACCATGATAATAAGTGTAGATCAACAATTCCCAAATATTTTCTTTATTTACTACTTTGATCATGTGTAGTAATATTAAATACTAGCTTTTTGAATTATTGTAATTAACTCATTATTATTTTTACATACCAAAGCATACTTTTATCTAATAACTTACCTTTACAAAATTGTTATATGGTTTTTTTGCTGGTGTGGGATCACCTCCTGATGCTTTTCTTTTTTTACCAGCTTGGAAACCATTTTCTGTAGCCTAAAAGTTTTTTATTTTATAAGACAAATATTGAGACAAAAACAAATTTTTTAACAAAATTAATAAGACTGTGGTATTTTTTAAAATAATTTTGTGAAAAAAATATAACATTGTTTAAATGTCTAAGTTAAAGAAAAGGAATAATATTCATAGAACGCAGACTTTAAAAATCTGAGTAAGCTTTGTTCACAAAATGTTAGTTAAAAATGTTACCTGTGCATTTTCAGTTTTCGCCTTCTTTGCTACTTTAGCAGGTGGACCATCTTCATCACTGTCATCATCGGATGACTCAGCTGCTTTTTTCACTGTCTTGGATTGTGGCTCATCATCACTACTATCTTCACTTGAAGATTCTTTCTTAGCCGGTTTAGATTTTGGTGTTTGTGCAGGAGTCTTTTTAGGGGCATCATCGTCACTGCTCTCATCTTCAGATGACTCCTGTGCTGGTGCTTTGGCTGCTGCGGCAGGTTTCACTGGTGTTTTGGCCGATGCCTTGGGAGCTTCATCCTCACTATCACTGTCATCCGAAGATTCCTTTTTCGTTGGTGGTTTTTGTACAACCTTCGGCGCTGGCTTTTTGGCTGTTTGTTCATCTTCACTGTCACTGTCTTCTGAAGATGATTTTTGCTTCTTCGCTGGAGTGGGCTTTGACACAGGCTTAGCAATGGCCGGTTTGGACTGTTTTTGGGCTGGTTTTTTATCATCGTCACTACTATCACTATCTTCTGATGAAGAAGCCTGTTTCTTAGGAGCTACTTTGACAGCCGGTGTGGCTTGAAGTTTAGGGACTACTTTGGGTTTCGTTTTACTGTCATCATCACTACTATCATCATCACTGTCTTCAGAGGATGCTGCTTGTTTTTTCGGTGTCTGGACTTTAGCAGGTGTCTTAACTGGAGTTGGTTTTGCAACAGCTGGTTTAGTCTGTTTTTGGGAAGGTTTCGTATCATCGTCACTGCTGTCTTCTGATGACGAAGCCTGTTTCTTAGGTGTGGCTTTCACTGGTGCTGTGACTTGAGCCTTTGGGGCTGCTTTAGGCTTCTTTTTACTGTCGTCATCACTGCTGTCGTCACTGTCATCTGAGGATGCCTGCTTTTTCGGAGTTTCTACTTTACCTGGTTTCTTTGCAGGAGTTGCTTGTGCTTTTACAGCTTTTTGTGGAGGTTTAGGTTTCTCATCTTCACTTTCATCGCTATCATCTGAAGACTCCTGTTTCTTTGCAGGTACAGCTTTAACAGGTTGTTTTGGTGCTGGCTTTTTAGTCTTTTCATCTTCACTACTATCATCACTGTCTGATGACTCCTTTTTAGCCAACGGAGCCTTTGCAGGTGTAGGCTTCGCTGGTGTTGCTTTTGGTTTTGCAGTTGCATTCTGTTGTGGTTTAGTTTTCTTGTCATCTTCACTGCTATCATCAGAGGATGATTGTTTTTTAACTACTTTAGGGGTATTTGTAGACTGTGGTTTGACTGGTTGTTTCTTAGGTTTTGTGGTGGCATCATCATCACTGCTGTCACTATCGTCTGATGATTCTGGCTTTTTAACTTGTGGTTTGGGCACTACAGTTTTAGCCTAAAAAGCATTACATATATTAAGTACAATATCAAATTTTTTAAATTCACTAAATGCTTAAAAATAATCAGAGGTAGTGACGAATAGGTAATAATATCACAGTGTTTCAATATAAAAAAATTTAACATCATATTTATAAAATAAGTTATCAGTATACATATTATTTATTTTATACTTACATTTGTTTTTGATGGTTTTTCATCTTCGGAACTGTCGGAGTCAGAAGATTCTTTTTTGTTATTCGCAACTGGCGCCTTGCCATTCACTTGAACTGCTTTTTTGGGCTTTTCATCTTCATCGCTAGAATCATCAGAACTGAAAAATAATGTTTTATAATCAGACGAGACATTTATTAGGCGATAAAAATGTCATAGTTAAAAAATAGTAACAGAAGTATTTAGTTTTAAAGGACACAACATTGTTATAATAGGTTTACTTACCTTGCAGCACCTCGGGACAAATCCTTTAGAGCAGAAACTTTTTTCAGCTTGATATATTCTTTTATAATTTCACATAGGTTTGGTAATTTATCTGAACTAGGTTTCTGAAAAAAGAAAATATATTCAGTTTTAAAAATTAGAGGGCAAGATAATAGTATGTCCCTTGTTATGCATAAGAAAATAATAATAAAACCGAATTGATTGAAATATTTCTTGAACCACGTGTGGATATATTGAGCTAACACGTGGGTTTGGTTTCCATCACTTACCAATTTTGATTTCTCGATAAATTTCTGCGCTAAAGATTTATCAACAGTTTGAATAAATTGACTAACAAGTGTAATGGCATCAGCCTTAATATTAACAGGGTAATCCATTTTTACAAAAAATTAAACAACAGCGGTTAAAGAAACGCCGCCGCAAGACCACAGACCACAAGATCAAAGAGAGAGAAGATAAGAAAAACGCAAATCGTAGACTATTGGCAAAGAGTATAAATGAAGTAGAAAAATTTAAATAAATGAGCATAAACGTAGTATTGGTAGTTTAAGCTTTTTAAATAGGTTTTTAAAATGTTATTTTTTCAATTAGCAAAATCTAGTATCCTATCAATATCCTATGTGAAACAAATCTACTCAATTACTTTTGTCCGTAAACCATAATTTTTGTAACTGGAATTCTTAAAGAGCTTTTCCATTTTTTTTCCAAACATATTTACTTGAATTTGAACCTCGCCATCTTAACCTAAAGCATAAAGTATTTTTTTTTATAATGTATACTTTCCAAATGTTATATATTATTAAATCCTTACATTGTTTTGAAGATTTAAAAATGATATGATCGCTTGCCTTAAAAACTACCGAGGACGTTACTTTTATTTTACCTGGCAACTATTAGAAAGAGACATATAGAGTGATTCCTCTCTTTTTTCATTTCAAAGATTGGATGTTAGTATTCCAAATTAAGTCTTATTTTCTTCGAATAAAACATACATTACTTTGTTGCTTTGATCTTTCGAGAGAATTAAGAATGGAAAATAAAATGACAAATTGTTTTTATATCTTTACATAATCTATGTTTCAAGCAGTTCAGACTTCAGCTACGGCTATTGATGTTTTTGTCTTTCTTGTTGTGGAACGAATGAAGAATATTATAGTAACCAACTATAAAAAGACATCGTTAAATTGTGTTAAACTTCATGTGTGTGCACATTAATATTATTTAAATTGTGTTCCAAAACCTCTGTATCGTTATGTAGAATACGGTTCTGTGAAATGAAAAAGTGACATCTTACCCGATGACTGCTTTGTCGATATGCAATGTGATTACAATCATAATTAATAATATAATGTCGTAAGCTAGGTATAATATGTTAGGCGAGCAGCATTGAGGTATAGATAAAAGGAGACACAATGCCAGTCCAGCTAATAAACGTGAAGAATTCTTCTGATATCGAGAGCTGGGAATGGGGTGGCGGAGGCTGCGTGCGGGAGGCGGTCAGAGCCGGGTCAGGGAGCAGCCGGACTTCTTGCAGCAACTCGAGCGGGGACATCTGTCGCATCTGTCACTGCGAGAGCGAGACTCATAATCCTTTGCTGGCACCATGCTACTGTTCTGGTGAGATATCAATTCTTATCTACACTCTGAAATATTCATCTAAATTGTTGGACGGTTACTTTCCCCCGTCCGGGGCTCTGGAGGTGTGGGGCTATTGAAACACTTTCTTCTAGTTATTCATCATTATATTTAAGATATCTGAACCATATTTTATACAATGGTTATTAGTCCTACAATGTTACTTGTTCGGTGTCGAGATGTGAAGTCTATCAATATTTCATCAAATGTAGAATTCTTAATAATTTAAATTATATATTATTCTAATATTAAAAAACCATTCTTAGTGTGTACAGTGTTGCCTGCCAGTATACAAACATATAAAAACTCCAACATAAATTATAAGAAAATCTATTTTGCATAACCAATTCAGATATGTTATGAATGGTCACAGTTGTTATGTTTTATGTTTAGAAATAATTACTTTTACTATTGTTTGAAAGTATAAAATGAATTTGTATTTTAGTTCTGGTAATAAACTGTGAATGTTGTAATGGATTTTGTTTTACATAATGTTTTTAATTAAATTATAAAATAATAGATAATAGAATATATTTTGTCAGTATAATTAAGAAATATTAATTGAAATTTTTAAATGTTATAAATATGCGGGAAGGTAAAATTTTGAGGCCTCAGATTAGGAATCACAATTGTTATAAAAATGTTCAGTTTTAATAAATCAATACTTTAATTGAAGACATGTGCATATAATGTGTAACACATATGGAAAAAGTTTAATTTATCGCAGGCATTTAGTACAAAGACCCAAAATATACAAGGATATTCTACTGTAGATTTATTGCAAAATTTTTTAAAATGAACAGGGAAATATAAAAAATGTGGTTTAACTCTGTTACAGTTAGACCCATTTTCTGAAAAGAGTTCCATGTCTAATGGGAATCTTTAAATGTAATTTTTCTTGGATGGATTAAGATGCCATTTTTGAACCACTGGCATATTGATTAAAATAATTCTCTCTCTACTGCATGTATTATGGGTAGCCAATTAGTCTACTGTATTAAAAGTAATTAAAAGCCTTCAATTAATATATATAAGAGACAATACATAAGATAATTCTGTTTAATTATGTTTGACTTTTAAATAAAATCAATTAGGTGAAGGTCGGTTGCAAATTCCAAGAATTATGTATTGACATAAGTAATTTTACATTTATTGCTTACACAACTTGACCTTGTGATGTATATACATGGTGTGGTATGTACATATGTGTTTATATCACATGCAAACAATTGTGGCATTTATATTTATTGCTGATTAAAAGATATCTTGATGGCTCTTATGTAAATTATTGTATGTCTTAAGCGTAAAAAAAATACATAAGTTAAGTATGTTTCATTATATTATGACACATTAACATATGATAGATTTATTTGTATTTTTGTATGTATTCAATTCACATAAAAGCTACTGGGTGGATTTTAAAAATTCTTTCACCTTTACAAAGGTGATTTTTTAAATTCCCCATGGACGGAGTCGCGGGCGAAAGCTAGTTTATTATAATTGAATAAGTTATGTTTTTGTTTTTTTATTACAGGCAGTCTAAAATATGTCCATCAAAGTTGCCTGCAACAATGGCTCACAGCCTCGGAAACTCGATCATGTGAATTGTGCAAATTCAACTTCATTATGCATACGAAAATAAAACCATTCAATGAGGTAAGTTTTATGATGTTGCATCACATGCCATTGTAATTAGTGAATTTTTAAGTATAAACAAATCAGCCTATAGCAAAGTTAAAGTCAACATTTTTTTCAAATGTTTGTTTAACATAACTTAGCATAGGAAGTATGTATAGAAGAGGTATAACTTTATTGGGTATGTATTATCTATAAACTTGATTCTCATTTTTATCTGAATATCCTCAAGAGAATTAAACAGTCCAAGTCAGTCCAGCGCAACTATATACTGTACTGGCATAAGGTAAACCAGGCGTAAAGTATGATTAACAGATAACACAAAACTTTTGCTTAAGAATTAGTTTTTCTAACTATTTAAAAACATTTTTAATTTACACTTAACTTTTTGTACATTTACATCTACAAAGTGTTTGTATCACAAAAAATGTTCATTTGTTTTTTTATAAGTTGTAGTTGCTTCCTTACGTTGGTTTTTGGCGTATTATCGAATTGTACAGAAGAGTACTATCGTGATAAATCTAAAACCATTATAAACTACGACTTAGACAACAGATTACGACAGTATTCGGCAATCACAAGATCCGAGTTCGTAAGAACTGATGGCTCAAATCAGTCTTTTATTGGAAGTTTCTTATTCAAAGGAAGTTGAGCGACAAAGCGCGGCTCATATTGTTGAACTGTTATTCAGGATTTAGTTCGCGATTTACACTGATAACAGCTTTATTCATATGTAACATAGAGATGGTTATTGCGTGTGCCAGTGGCGGCTGCTGGAGATGTCGGGCGTGGAGCGGCGCCGGCTGTGCTGCGCCGTGCTGTTCCACTGCGTGGCTGCGCTCTGCGTCATGTGGTCGCTCTTCGTCCTCATAGAACGTGCTGTTGAAGAAGTCAATAGAGGACTCATTGGTAAACTTCTGAGTTTAGCGTTCATACTTCGTACTAATATTATAAATGCGAAAGTTTAGATGGATGGATGGATGTTTCTTAGATTTCGTAGGCGTAGACGTTGTCTGGAAGAACACATAGGCTACTCAGTTTTGATTTTTTTAATTCCACGCAGACAGTGTCGCCTGCGAAAGCTAGTATACAATAAAGGATATGTTTAAATTGATGTTAACTAACTGTCAAGTACCGATTTACAAACATGTTTAAGTTTATGTATATTTGAGTGGGATCAAGGGCATCATTAGCCGATTATCTGCACAAGGTCTGGGTCTAAGCTTTAGAGGTTTTCTAAGTGGGATATCTGACCCTTTGTAGCGTGGGAAGTATAAAATAAGCAAGGAAATGTGATGGAAGAAACCAGTCCGTAAATTATTAGTTAAACAAAGATAACTTCACATCCTTTAGAATAACAATGAAGTGTAAGAATGATATAACGGCTCCGAAGTAGGTAAGTTAACAAATCGGTTGTGTTGCAGCGTGGCCGTTCTGGACGAAGCTGGTGGTGGTGGCGGTGGGGTTCACTGGGGGCGCCGTGTTCATGTACATCCAGTGCCGACAGTACCTGCACCTCTGCAACCGATGGCGCGCGCACAATAGGTACGAACAAACCCCAGCGTTGTATTTACATATTTATACAGTGCCATTCAAACTCTGTGGCGCCTTCGTACTAAACAGGAGACACTGAGCCCTATTTTAGATATTGATACTAAGTAAAAGGTTGCTGGGGCGGGACCATGCGCGCTTTACCCATAGTGGGCTTGCCCGATACCCATCTGTGGCGACAGGTCTGTCAGTTTCAAGTTAAAAGGTGAACTTAGTTTAAAAGGCCAAGAGTTTGCTTTATATAACACCTATTTAAAACTACATGACAAAAATAATTGGTAATTTATTACTACAAGTTAAACCCCTCCACTATATTTCATACAAAAATCATTTAATATTGGTAATTTGTAATACAGTATACTGTCATAAGGACAAGCTTTGTAGGGAAAATTAACTTATGTATTGGCTTAACTTTCGAGTATCGAAATATACTTTCTTATCTGCAACATGCGTGGCGAAATGTTTTGATAATGTACGCGGTTGCGACAGCGTTTGGCTGCTGTTCAACTAGTTTTTATAACTATAGCCGATAAATCTATAATCTATTATGTGGGAATAGTTTACTTTGACGACCGAGTAGATCTGAAAGATTCTATTCTGTAACATTTGGTTTAAATGCCTTCTATAAAAACTAACCGAAAGGAATGCATGATTCTCGGAACGTAAACAATTAAAGCGAAAAATTTCCACGTCTTATTATTACAAAAAAAAATCAAACATTGTATGCGTGTTTAGACAAATGTGCACACGGTCTGAGAGACTGACGTGTGATGTCAAGGCCTTTTGAAAACGCACTTGTACCCATTTATATCGCTGACAACTAATTTTCAATATGTTTTAAGTATGCAATATACGGTTTTACCCTAACACCATACTACGCATATAATACCACAGTGATTTTGATAATTAATCGTAGAAGTTTTAGGGAAAATTGTTTGAATAATCTTGTATGTGGTAAAACAGCGATCAATTTTACGAGCATCGGTCATCTCTATAAATACGTAGATCGCTGCGCTCGGGAGACGTCACTGATGAATAAACAACATTTTTCCTGAATGTTTTTTTGTCGCATCGCATCGGATGTATTGTTTGTTGACTGCTGACAATGTTTCAGTCAATACACAAACACCTCATAACAAATTGACAAATGCGACGCAACATTTCAAAACATACATTCCTTTTCTTACTTCACTTTTATCATTGTTTTCAAGGTTTATTGTTTCCAGTATTTCCTAATACCTCTACTTGATCTACAACATTGTAAATTATTACCTAAGTTATGTTTACGTGGTAGTCGTCTTAATGAAGATTTATTTATAGTAATACACTTATTATTTTTAAAATATATGAGATGAAGGCATTTCCTATCTGCAAAACTAAATTATGAAGGTGATCACATCGTAAGTGTGATACGTGGAAGGTTAGGATTTGAATAGTAGCTTTAAGTCTACTTTCAAAAATGACTAGCAAAAAAGTTTGGTTTTTTAATAGCCTTTTTTATTTTAATTTATAGAATACTATTAATCCAAAACGCGCCAGAGAAGTTGCCTATGGGTGGTTCGCCG